ATTTTCCCGTACCGGTGGGAGACTCGAGCAGAGCGTGGGAGTGACGGTCTCTCTGAGCACGATAGAGCGTGGATATGACCCGGCTCATGAACGCGAGCTGGGTTCCGTAGGGTTGGTAAGGGAATTCAACTTGAAGACCTCCGATTTGGTAGACATTTTTAGGGTTTTTGGAGTTTAGGGTTTGTTTATTCTCTTCGTGATTCGAATTGGAATTGCTTGTTGTGGAAACCATATCTTCTTCCTCGAGATCTGACGGAGACGGTGGCTGAAGAAAAGAAAGAAATAGGAGCAATGAATCACTTTAGAGGTTCGAGAAATTTTGCCTTGTTAAACAAATGGGCGGGAAAATATTTTCTAGCTTCATTGAGAAGCTATGCAATCCAAAAAACGACGTACAGTTCTGATTTGTTGAGAGAGAACGGCAATACTTTCTATGAGAAAACTTTTGATTGCAAAGATTTACTCGGATTGTTTTGTTAGGTCAAAAGGTTTGTATGGGAAAACTTTCATTCTGAAAGATGGGAACAAAAATAATATTATATCCAATCAAATATGTATTTACATATGACCCATTTTACCATGAGCTAAGGGATTGCCAAGGACCTGAACACAAGTTCAAGTTCCGAACGAAGCTGGCCATGTTCAGATGCAGAGGCAAAATCTTTCTTCAACCACAGGAGCAAAGTTCCTTGGTTCACATCGGTTTAGGACAACTTGATGATGCCGGTTTGGCTGCCTTGACTATCCCTCATTATAACTAAGACCGGCTCAGATTGTTGCAGCTAGTGAAAGCATCCTTTTTCTAGGCCTTCTTGCTTGTTGGCAAATTGCGTTTTGGTAGTCTCAGCTGCACATATGAAGAAGATAATTAAGACTGATTAGGGAACTAGACTACCAGTTAACAAAGTTTGAAACCGGGATGCGTGATATCGTCTTTTTCCAGACCTTTGATTTTGTGGTTCTCCAGCCTCCTCCTGACTCTTGCTGCTGCGTCGGGGAGTATGCAAATCCCTCTATTGACTTGAACACATCACTCTTATCCACAGCTGTATTAGTGGAACCAATAGATTCCTACAATCCCAATACAAAAAATGTTGTTTATGCCTACAATGTAATTGATACTTAAGACACATCATATAAGATGCTACATTTGCGAATTTTGTGTCAAGCTTTGTCCTGAACGCATTAAAATCATTTTAATTCAATTTCAGAATCTTTTGAATCCCCAATTATCCAGACTGAAACATCAAATTGCTTCTTGGATTTAACGGTATGCAAGTAACAGTCATGCAAGAATACCTTGTGCTTTAACGCTGTTTCCTTGCTTGCAGTATCACCCATGACTTCTAGATGATCCGCAAAGAACAATATCTGCAAACAAGTAAAGTTGAATCTTAATATTATCGAGCTGAAGACAATGAAACAAACCATAAAAGATGAATCACGACAAAAGTCAAGCTTACTTTGCTCAGAAACTGAACATTTGATGAATCAGTAGCCATGACTTGCACTCCGAGACAAGTGTTTGGCGTACTGCAAAAAGGGCAAAAGATAGTATTGAAAACACATCCGTCTTGCTTGCACCAAACACCCTGACCTTTTGTGCCTTCAAAACTTCTGCAGAGTCTCTGATTAACTAATGAGCAATCTGTCATGATAATTGAAACACTTGTCGGCATTTCTGAAACACTAACACTAGTTCTTGATCTTTCTTTCAGAAGAGACAGCAAATGCTTTTTGGACGACGTAGTCAACAAGCAATCGAGATATGAGTGATTCTCAGGGTGACCTAATGGACTTCTGCAGAGCGAACAAGATATCTGTACTTTCTGATTCACCTCTGGATAATCATATATATTGTAGCTTTGCGATCTTGGTTGGGTACTTCCATACCCAAATTCAATTTTCCTTGTTAAACTTGCGTGATCTGAGGGTATAGTACTAGGAGCATTACTGTTTTCTTCTTCAAGGTCAATGACCGGAGAGCTAGTAAATTTTCTTCTCTTCAAAGCATGGGAATTAACACTCATATTCAAAGGTGACTCTGCTTCTGGAGTCAAATTACGGGTGTCACCAATGGAATATCTCTCAACTACTGCGGACGACTCAGCTCCAAGAGGAGATCTTCTGAAATTTGGAGTAGGTATATGCTGCTTTGTTAATTGATCAGGAGACCTCGGAGATCTCAGACCTATAATGGATGGGCTAGAGCTTTCATTCTTCGAGCAAGAACATGGACTGGCTACTGAAATATCATTGATCATACCAGAGGTTTCCTTTGCAAAAGATGTTTCTGGAACTTCATCACAGTTGGTCACAGACGACGCTTCACAATACCTGCACATGACAATTTTTAGGTTTGCTAAAAGATCTGTATAATATAACCTTACATTCTGCAGTATGTACTTATATACGTTCTTTTAGTTGAAACCAACTATAACAGACATGCTACTTTAAGACAATTATTCCGCATTATACTTTGAGATTTGGTGTAATTCTTATATAAGTATCAAACAAAACTGTCTGATATATTTACCCAGGCTCGGGTTGGACATCGCACTCAAGGTCAATGACTTCTTTGCAACATTCAGCTTCCTCTTTAACTTGAATGAATGTCTGAGCAGGTACGTCACCTCGCGATGATAACTGTGAAATGGAGGTTCCATAGTTCACACCAGAAAGCTGCATGGATCTCGAACCTTCGGCTATTTTTGGTTGCCAATCTTTGTGATCCAAAAACCCCTTGCTTTCGTTCATAAAAGGATATTGTGGAATCGATCTTTTATAGTCCTCTGTGTCCACCACCTTCCTAACTGCGATATCCTGCACACAAATTCATGATCAGTATCAAAATGAATTCATTGAGAAAACACCACAAAAGGGAAAACTTATTTGCTTTTAGGATGTACTTTTTGTTCCACATGACTAAATTTGTTCTGGATCTGGTTTTCCTTCCTTTTGCATTCTTTGCTTTGGCTTTCAGAGGAAAAGTTCTGCTCAACAGTATACTCCTGGGACCCTAACATCTTACTGTCAACTCGCTCCTGCAGGCAATTCTCAAAGAATTTTAGTGATAATGTAAATAAACTTTCATGGAAGGGAATTAGATGGTTTGAACCTTAACACTGTTGAAAAAAGCTTTTAACCCTTCCATAGATTCTTCAAAATTATCATACAGTTTGATTGACTGCCTTAGCCATTTTGAAATAGACGCTCTGTTCCTTGGTTCTCTATATCGCTCATCTAAACATCAAAACAAGGCAACTTTAGAGCCATCATAACTGAGTTGAACACAAAAATTCAAAAGATTCTAAGCAATGACTATCCCACAGATATAATTACCCAATAATATGATGGCACCATAATCAAACCTATGCCGGATACATCGACCTGTAAAGAAAAACACCATGAAAGAATAATTTCTTTATTAAAATTGACATGAACCAAGTGACAGAAAGCAAGTTATCAAATCGCACCTGCGGCTTGATTTAAAGCACGATAGGCCTGTTGGCAGTACCAGTCACTCCCTCCAAGAAGGTTTTTAGATGATTTGTACGTATCATTATATTTTTTCTTTAGTCTGACTTGAATATCATGCCTGGCAAGAGATTAATTCGTTAGAAAACTGTTCCCTCCCAAGAAGATTTGAAACGAAGCTGAATGATTTTTAAGTTTGGAAATGGAAGTCTTACAAGTTTGGAAACGGAATGCCAACTATTATCACTGCCCTGGCGTTGTCATCAGCAAAGTCAATCCCTTCTGAAACCTGTGAGAAACATGTAGACTTTAAACTCACATCTCAAGTCAAGTTTTTCAAAGGCGATATATTCTGTGAAAGGTAAAAGGTAACCCATGTCATGCTCGTAGGATCCAGTTACACCCATATCTTGAATATCAACTATAGTAACCATGACATAGAAAACAAACCTTTCCTCTACATACTGCGAGAAATGCAGCTCCTTTCTTGGAATCATCCTGAGTTTCAGTTTTAACAGGCCCTGCTTTCTTAGCTCTTCTATTTCTTCCAATCAATCTGTTCTTTCCGCGTATTGAATCATAATAACCCTTAAGAACAGAATCAAATTCGTCCTGGGCTCCCCCTCTTGGCTCTGCAACCAAGGATAGTTATTTAAGATTTTTATCAAGAAAAAAAAGTGCATCACTATTTGATCTGTTGCAATAGTTTCTAC